TCGCAAGGATTTTACCGTAAGTAGACATTTTTTCAGAAGATAATGGCGACCGATAATGCGGCAGCATCTCGTTTTGCGGACTGCAGTGGATGTCGTCTTATGTAATTAACAGAGAATCAGTCGAACTTTGTAACTTGAGTCTTCAATTCATTGAAAAATTGTTATTTTCTTTAATCAAGTTTTCGTAGTGACAAAGTATCGGGCGAACAACATAATTTGTAATCGAATCATCCTTGGAAAGGATTTAGCATGTCGGTGATTAAACCACACTAATAAATGTCAAAAAATTGAGGACACTTTTAATAAAATATGGTGAAAATTATGCCCATTATTATATTGTAATCATAAATAACTCCATCGATCACATGCCCCAGTATCTCTACATTATTGTTTGTCACTAATTTCTTCTGTTAATCTCCAACCTTAATTCCTCCAAATTGTTCACAAGTGTTCGATAAATAGTGATCCTTAAGTAGGGCAAGAAAAAAGTCTGCAGGAGGAAGAAAACAAGATATCTCTCTCGGTTGCCAAAAAATTCCTGTAACATATATATTGTGGTCCCAGCCGAACGCGTTGTAGCCCCGTCATGTTGAAAATAATTTACTTCCATTTCATCGTTGTGAAATTATAGAAGATTTCTTCCTGATATCTAGCAGCTTCAGGTTACGTTCGAATAACCCATTTATAGTTCTATGAAATTTTGCGAGACTTGTTCTTCGATTTCTTAAAAAAAATATTGCTTGTAAAAATTCGATGAAAGCACCACTACCACCGTAATAAACCGATGATTCCATAATTAATACCAAAACCTTCAAATTTACACACTAAATTCACATCAAGGTTGGCATCGACATTAGTTATTAAAATTCAACGTTATCTTATGAAAAAATGTACAATTGTGTGCAAAGTAATTGACCAAAGTTATGTTTCCAAGTTGTAATAAAAAACAACTGAATTTCGCTTAAAAAGTTTTGCAGGAAAGATTGTTTCGAAAAGTCAATTTAATAAAAAATTGAGGTGACATAATTACGGAACATCCTCCATATAAGTTCACCTTTTAAATATTCATTGCGTATCGTTATTTAATGTCCAATAAAACAACTGTTTAATTGAAATTCAGATTTGCACCTTTTAATATTAATATTCTGTTAAAATTTACGTTTATATCAGCTTCTTTTGGAAAATTCGGGTTCAAAATTTTGAAAAAATTGTACTGGTTGTATCATTCTAAAATGTAAATTTTAACCTGAGCTTATGCTTTCTTGAAAAGAAGAGCACCTTTGTTGTAGATTTTTAAAAATATTTCTATATGCGCTCTTCGATCTCATTAATTGTTGTTATTATTATTAGAGATCGAAAAAAATCGCAAAGATCAAAGTTGTACGGCTCTTCAGGCACAGTCTAACTTAAAAATATTTTCAACTATATACAGCCTGATTCAAAAATGGCGTACTAATTTCGAGAAAAATAAAAAAATTCTTACGTCTATTTGACGTTCACCTGCAAAAATAAAATATCGATTTAGAGAAATAGACTTAAAAAGGTGAAAAATTAGCAACTGGTGTCAGGTTTATTCTGAACAATTGTTATGTTTTCTGTGATATTGTAAAATGAAGAAAACTAAATTAAAAATATTAAAATATGGTCAAATGTCTAAAAGAAAAATTAAACGTTGAAGTCTTGTGTCTTCCACATTGGCCGGAAGGTTTTAAATAATATTTTGTTTGCTCAATAAACAGTCCTTAACAACGTGTCACAAAGTTAGTGTACCATTTTTGAAACATCAGTAGATGTTTTATTTTTAGAGCCCAGAGTACAATTTAATTTTAGAACAGCCGATATATTTCTACTTCCTGAACGCAAACTGAGAAAGTATTGTAAATAGGGTCCATCCGAGGGTCCTCCAATGAATCACTGCTATCAGATTTTCTCGACGTTTCATGACCCTTACAATACGTTTCAGTCTGTCTGTCCTGTACTCTTGCGCTTGTGGTTTATGAGTCCACACAATTTATATGTATATATATTTGAACTTGCAAAATCAAATACTCTGAAATATTGCATACATTTTAAGATTTTCGGAAGCATATTAAATAGTTAATCAAAAAAATTCTTTTTCCCCATAATAACGTCATCTTACAATTTTGCCCAATAAATGTTACCTACATTTTATAAAATAACGTACTCCTATATGTGTAACTTATGAATCTGTGTTGAGTTTTTACTTTAAACATCCAGATTTTTGGAAAAAAAATTGAAGAACAAGATTTTACAATTTTAACTTTTGAAACTGCAAAACCAATAGCTCTGAAATCTTGCAAACGTTTTAAGGTTAACCATGGTAAATCGTTAATCAAGATTCATCCGTTTATGCCCTACCAAAAAGTTGATCTCAAAATTTTTCCGATTAAATCGTATCCAAAATTTGCAAAATGTTATGAATTTATACTTGTGCTTTACCAATGCATTCATATTTTTTAGAATTATTTATTATTTATTGATCAAATCAAAGACAGTTTACCCCATTTTCTCCAAACTTTGAGTATAGAGTACTATTATTTTTAGTATTGCACTGCACCAATTTAAATTGATATAGTGTGTCCTTGCTAAAATGTTGATGATGTCATCATAGACTTTTGTTATGGGAAAATTCACTTGAAACATACGTAAAAATTTTTAAAATGTGGATGCTACTTTGCCAAGTTGGTGTTTAATTTTTTTACTATGCAAAAATTTGCAAAAAAATGGCAATGGGTTTATTTGTAACTCTTATTTTTTCAATATTTTGTGAACAAGTAAATGTGATGTACTTTATTGTTGTCTCAATATCCAGTGTTTAAAAAACCTTAAAAATATTGTAATTTTTTTAAATAATTATCTCTGATTTTTTCTATACAGGGTGTTATTGAAAGGTACGTACAACAAAATGGACAGTTTTTCGCGAAGTCTAAGAAGTCTGAAGAACTTATTTTGTGTTATCAAAATTATAAGGGGAAAATTAACCCTTATCCAACCTTTTTAGACGCTACTGATGGATAAATACGTAAAATTAATTTATTTTAGTAAATCCTAGCAACTGTAACAATAAAACTTTTGTCAAGACTAAATGTTGCTATAGAAACGAAAGATGATCTTTTTATCAGAGGCGTACAACGAATTTGGACATAAATTTTAATAATTTTTATCTCTAAAAGGAGAACACTTTTACCTGAACATTTTTTAACTTTTAGCACCCATACTTCGAGACCAATTGCCGATTTTATTTTGTACGTACCTTTCAATAACAGGCTGTATAATACCTTGTATATTATTACTGCATCTTACTCCGTTTTTATTTTTTGTCAAAATATTCATATATCTTTAAAACTGAAAAATTGAAAAAAATTATAAGCAAAATAAAAACACAGTAAAATGTTCTTCCTGTGGGAAACACCCGAAAAATGACTATTTGAAAATTATAGCGTTTTAGATTATTCTAACAGTCAATATTAAGACTCAGTTTGGCACCACAACACATATTTTAAAACAAAATTTAAAAAGATAACCTAACCCTACAGTGATTTTTTTGTGAACTTCGGCATCGTTAAAAAGTCTCAAGGAAATTTGAATAACTTGACAACGTCGCATTTGGAGTTTCAAAAATTAAATACAGTTAATTAGAGGTTAAAAAGGGCCTCCCAGGATATGTAAACATTGGCTGTCCCATTAAAAAAAAAATAGGTTTGATATCTTTAAAACAGAATACTCTGTATACTTGAACCTAATTCTACAGTGTGTCCCCAGATTGAGTTGACAAGAGAGAAGAAAAATTATTTGTGATTTTCTAAAAAAATGACAAAGGAATAATAATTGCTTCGCTAATTCAACTAAAACTACAGAAGTATAAATTTAAAAATTTAACTAACCAATAAAAATTAAGTTTTCTTAAAATATACTTAATTATCTGGTTAAATTTCATTTATTTAAAAAATCTGCGGAATTTAAAAGATTTTCCAAGTGAAGTACTTGTCTTACGAGAAGTCAAAATTTTTATTCCTTTGATTTTTTCGCCAAAATAACGTGAAATTTTTGTCGTTAAGCACATTTTTCAGTTTTTTATACACAAAAATTTCCAAAACAGTGTCACCTTAGTGTTATAAATTTATAACGAGATTCAAATTTGTTAAAAAAAATGTACTTCCGCACTCAGAAAATTTACTTTTCTTATTTATATCCACCTAAAGAAGCACATAACTCTTTAAAATTAGATGTGGTTCATAATTTTACGATTATACAGTTGTTATTTTTCAAAATGTTTGAACAGGTGGGCGCAAATACTAATGAACTTTCGCTTTGAAGAAATAGAGTTTATGTACTAGTATCCAGTTGAAGTCTTCGAGTTTGGATTTTAAATCACACATTTTTATGAATTTTAAAAGATGTCCTCCAGTAAAATGAAAGTTGAAAACAAACTTTGGAAAGTTAGAAAGTTTTCAATTTTACATCTCTTAATCCTAAAGAAAGCATTATGAAAAAATGAAATTATTATTGTTGAAAAAGAGTAGTTTACCATACTATTGACTAACTTTTATCAAAAGCCCACATAAAATGTGGAAATCGATTAATCCCATTAATTAGCAAAATACTCTTTGCCGTAACCACTTTCAACACTGGAATTTCCTACAATACTCATCGACGCTCACAGTAGCAAAACGGAATACATGTAGAGAATTTTCCAGCTGTTCGCCTTTCCAGAATTAAGTCGGTAGTGATCGCTTTATTTACATTACTTTCGCAAGGTCGTCATTACACTTAAAATCTTCCGTTTATACAATAAAATTTTATATCATAAACACTGACACCTCCCGGCGGAATATAGTTGTGAAATCCAAAACATTCTTCCACATATGTTTATTTTGAATTCGCATCATTTTTGTGACAAGTTGCGGTTGTTCTCGTTATTTGTTTGCCAAACCGCCCACAAGTCGACAGCAGTAATAATACTCATGTTTTATTTTTAGCCTACGATATTTGGAACTGTAGCTTCCGACCTCACACCAAAAGACTGTTCGAATCGAAGGGTAAGTTTTCTTTTATTTTCTCTTTGACGTTTCGTTTAGGTTTAGAAATTAACCACAACACCACTTGAATGCCTTCTTTGATTAATTTAATTACTCAGCTTGGTTAATTCCAGACAGCTTAATTTTTCAAGAGGGAATGTAGGTCAGTTTTAACGATCTTCTGCTGCAGTTGTTTGATTAATTAACGCTAGCGTACGGATGACATTTCAAGACACGAAAGACATAAAGTTGAGAAGAGCGATAGTGCTGATACTGAAAACCGAGAATAAAACTTATTTCATCATTCCAATCCATTTATGCCCACGTAAAAAAGCTTTATTTATTTAACATCACGTGTCACGTGAGAAACAAAATTTACAACATACCTACACACAGTTCGAGTGGCATCGGAATCGCATGAATCGATTTCAAACAAACTTTGTATACATTGCGCATTGTATGGGAATGCAACAATGGTGTTTTTGTTGTTTTTACTTTCCAGTGCATCTCGGAAAGACAATAGGTGAACATTTTTTATACACCGGAATTAGATTAATTTTGTGTCCGTCTTAATTCACGTTCTTTGCGACAAATCAGACAGTAGAAGCAATTTCGCGTCAAATTTTTCATTTCAATAAACTGGCCGTCTTCCAAGTCTGAAACCGATGAACACATGACAAACAATTTTTTTTTTGGGTGGGTGTTCATTCTTTGGTAAATTTTCTGCTTTCCCATTTGTAATGTCGGATTTTGTTTTTTTAAGTCCAGTGTAGTCTATAACTCTTCGCTGAAAATATATTTATTCAGCACTGTTTAACCGAAAGAACAGAAAAATAATTTGATCAATAATAGTTACATTTATTTTTTTAAGTCTGTTCAAAGAGCGTAATTTACGAGGAGAACAAAAGGGAACTAGAATTTGAATAGATTAATATTTATTGTTTACGCTGAACTGAAATGTATTTTAGTTTTTGTTTTCTCTAAAAGCTTACGATTTAAATTCAGTAAAAATAAGAAAATGTTTTGATAAATTCATGTTTACCCATTTTATGAGTAAATTATGTAAAGATAAAAAAAATCTTTTGCTTTATTATCCATAACAAATTTTGTGTGATGTTAAGAATAAATTCTGATCGATAAAACGTCGTCACTTTACTCAGAAACCAAAGCGTACCATTATTGTGTATTATTTTTTTTTTTTTCTCAGGAACGAGTAATGCTGTAATTACAACTAACGTCAAAACTACTGAAATACGAAATTTGTGTTAAACTTCCAATCCAGTGATATAAATACGCATTTGTGTTATAGAATTGTATCTGTTTATTATAATTTGCCAAATCTAAATCAGGTATAAAGTAGAGCAAACGATAAGCTTAATCGGTACTTTGTTGTTTTTATTGACACAAAATACTCCACAACTCTCTTTCATGCGTACCGAACGTCGTTTTAATTTTTGACAACTTCGCATTAAACGCCACAGTTCTGCCACACGTGTTAGTATGAGATCAGTGTGATCACTAAAAGGGATTTCTATGGAATAACTTTAAAATTTGTTTAAAATTAAGTGTAGGTTTAGCATAATTTTGATAATAAAATGAATAGAATAAAAAGAAGTATATTAATGCAATAATTAATTAATAGAAGGAATGCTTTCTAACTTTTAGTGTTGTTCAACCTAAAGGTCGATTTATAAATTTGTCGCTTACTTTGCTGTTGTAAGATAAACACGCAGCGAAGGTATGCGTCGTTTATATCATCCGTTGACCTAGCCCTTGACAATTTGACGTTGGGTTTTCAACCAACCAAATTGCGGTGTGTGTAGCGCTACCAACTTGAAGGAAAATCCCCTGAAGTAGGGGGAACATTTTTCTGGTTGGCAGCACTAATTCCACGAAAATCAAATTTTGATAGAGATAATGAGAGGTCCACTAATATTAACCATTTAATCACCTGTTCACTGAAACCCTCATATTTTAAATAGCCGCCATCATTTTCTACACTGTAGCTTTCTGTCAGTACTCACGGATTGTTAATGACAGTTCTCGACGTTTAAATCAAGATTGATTTTATTATTCGTCTCAAAAACAGATTAGTTATTATAACTACAAGGGCTTACATTTTTTTTTTAATGTGTAGTCTTCTTTTCACAACAAGAAAGGTAAAACATGTTTAAAATGGTAAATTTTTGTACGAAAGTATCGCCGCTCGGTGTGACAACGAATGAAAAATTCATCACAATTGAGCTTGGGATGGATATGAGTGGGGCTTAATTTTTGGCTTGTTTTTTTCTTAATATACATAGAATTCTTTGAACAACACGATACTCAAAAACATGTTTTTTAGTTCTTGTAGAGAAATAAGGATTTTGCAATTAAGCTGCTGTTCTTGGCTCACGACAAATAAAAAAATCATCAGGGTGGGCAAGGTTTATGTGTTGCCTTTTTTTTTAATGTGCACACATAGCCATCTTTTCTAACAAGAAACTTAAAACATGGTTAAAGTGGTTTTTGCAAGGCAATATGTATGGATTTTGCAATTATGGGGCGAAGTCTATTGCAAAATCGATATTTTCTTATACAAATTTTCCATTTTAAACATGTTTTAAGTTTCCTGTTGTGAAAAGAAGTCTACACATATTGAAACAAAATGGCAAAATGTAAGCCCGCTGTGAACCAAGGGGACGGAGCTTAACTGCAAAATACTTATTTCTTTACAAGAAATTAAAAACATGTTTTGGAGTATCGTGTTGTACAAAGAATCCTATGTATAATAAAAAAAAGGCAAAATATAAACCCCACCCACCCGCCCCATCTCAATTGTGATGATTTTTTTTTATTCTTAGAAACTTAAAACACGTTTAAAATGGTAAATTTTTGTATGGAAATATGGATTTTGCAATTAGGCTCCGCCCCTCGGTCTGACAACGTATGAAAAATTCATCACATTTGAGCTTGAGATGGATATGGGTGGGGCTTAATTTTTCGTTTGTTTTTTATATAATATACATATGTAGTATTTTTTTAATAACACGATACTGAAAAAAATGTCTGACATGGTAGAGAATTTCTTGTAGAAAAATAATAAGATTTTTGCATTTAAATTCCGCTTCTTGGGCTCTCGACAATAAAAAAAAATCGTCACAATTGGGACAGGGCGGGCGGGCGGGGCTGATATTTTGCCTTTTTTCTTAATGTACGTAGTCGTCTTTTCAGAACAAGAAACTTAAAACATGTTTAAAATGGTAAATTCTTGTAGATAAATATGGATGTTGCAATGAAGCCCCGCCCCTCGATCTGACAAGGAATGAAAAATTCATCACAATTGAAATTGAGATCGGGGCGGGTATGGGTGGGGCCTAATCTTTGGCTTTATTTTTTTCTTAATATACATGATATTCTTTGAACAACACGATACTCAAAAACATGTTTTTAATTTCTCGTGGAGAAATAAAGATTTTGCAATTAAGCTCCGTCTCCTTGGCTCACGACGAATAAAAAAAATCATTATAATTGAGACAGGGTGGGTGGGCGGGGTTACATTTTGTCTTCTTATCTAAGTACGTGTAGAGTTATTTCGACAACAAGAAACTTAAAACATGTCTAAAATGGTAAATTTTTGTAGTAATCCTCCACTTTTCTTCTACAACCACTTTAAATACGCCAGAAGTTGAACATGAAAGTTACTATAAACAGCAAGGTGGCAACGGAGTTTATAAATGACAATTTTCAGCTTTAAAAGCAACGTCAGCGGGAACTTCAACGTCATCAGTAAGTTTATAAATCCCACTGCTAACGTCATCAAAAAATGATTTCTGCAGAGGACATAATTTTGGAAATTGTACGACTGAGACGCCACTTGGAAGCTGCCAGCATTTCTTTCCAAAAAGCGGTTCAGTGGACTACATCGGAGCTTTTCAAATTCATCGTAAAATGGGGTTATTCTGAGTCGGTTCCGAGTCTAGCGCTGTGTCTAAGATTTTTTTAACTATTTGTTTCGATAACTTCATGTGAAAGAAGTTTTCAAAATTAAAATTGATAAAATCGTGCTTAAGGTCCACAATGAGCTAAGCGCGACTAAACAATCTTTCCATTTTATCATTTGAAAAAGATAGGATTGTAAATTTTGATAACGTCATAGAATATTTTGCCAAAGTAAAGATTTTTGTGAACCGTTGTACTTCTAAAAAAAATTCAAGAAAATTGGAATAAGGTGGTCACGTCGCATCAGAATTGAAAAATAAATTGTAGTTTGTAGTTATAAAGCCTAATCTGAGATCAAGAGAATATGGTCTGTGACATTTTTTTATTATTTTCAGTCATTGTTTAGATATCAAAGGATCCATGCTTTGTGACACCTTGTATGTAAAATTTATTTATTTTAGAAACATTGCAGATTATTAATTAAATTGAAGTAACAAGAAACATTCACCCTATATGTCAGTGATTGCTCGCACCAACTACCCCCTTTCATTTTATTTATAAATATAACTGTTGAAATTTGGAACACCTGTATACCTATCACTCACTGTAGAATATTAGGGTGTTATAAACATTCTCTCTCTGCAATAGACGATAAAAAGAGTATTTTGGAAAAATGTTAACCAACATTGTTTTCTCATAAAGTTTCTTAAAATATATACGACGGTAAGAAATATTCGAAGTCAAGTTTGGATTTTGTGCAGCGCTTACACCAATGACGGTGATGTTTAGATCACTTTATAAAGTCCAGAACTCAGAGCAGACGTTTTTTAGATTCTTAGAAACTTCGTTATTAAAGCAAGATACTATTTCAGAATGAACAACGTAAACAATTCTATTTTTCTAGTTACATTTAAAAAAATTTTAAGGTTGAAATTTCTTCTTTTTTGCTATTATGCAACAATTATGGTTATATCTATAAATTTTAGGCATTATTTGTTGGAAAAACTGTAAACAAATAACCCTGTCAGTTAAGTTAATGGCTCAATGTCAATAAAAAAAAGTGAGGGCGTGACCATGATGGACTGGCTGGGCAGAGTGAC